GCTATTTTGAGATTCTGGGAGTTCTGACTTCAAATGTTATTCTTGAAAGCCATCCAGCTAATGGGGTAACCCACTGCAATATCCAGGTAATTGCTGCTTTTCATCTCTGGGAAGTCACTGGAGGTGTGAAGTGACTCTTTTCCGATACGCTGATGCCCAGTGAACGTGGAGTGTGATGCTCGGCAGTCGTTAGGAGTGCCCAGTCTTGGAGTGAGCAAATTACTCCAATGTCAGTGTCATCACAAAACTTGCCAGGGATTTTTTTGTGTGAGTGTTACAGTGATTCACGTGGCTGATGGGTGATGATGAACATGGATTTTACAGTGCGGTTTTTGCAGACAGACTTTGAGAAGTTGGTAAAAAATCAAATAGGAGCCAGGAAGGGCCTCGGCCCATACCACGCTTGCCAGACTTGTGCAGAGAGATTAGCCTCTTATATAAAAAGGGTAGTGCCAAGAGCCCCATTGTGCCTGGCTCTGTACAAATAACGTAATGCCATGAGATAAACTTGCAGCCATATCAAAGCTTCTCGAAACTCTGGCTTGTTCTTGCTTGAGGCCTTAGGGTAGACTTTCACAGCCAGGCACAGAAAGGGCTTTAAAAGCATCTTTCTAGTTCTGGGATGCATTTACATCTATCTCAAACAGTCTTGTTTTTAAGCACCTTCTGAAATTTGGCCCTTTTTGGTCCTAATTGAACATCTGGAATTAGTACTGGATGTTAAATTTTTCTCTCAACTCAAGTGACCTGGAGTCTTTGCTGTTCAGTTGCTCAGCTGTTGGTGTGTGATAGCCTTGTGAAAATAGGTGATGCTCCCTCAGGGCTGAGATGCACTGACCTGGCTGCACCTCCTGCTCACCAGGCTGCAACTGCAGGAATTGTTGAGCACTGACGTATTCTTAATCATAAATAGCGTTAATATCCCAGAGGGAAATTTGGCCTTTTTTTTTAGGCCTTTGAAGAAGTTGTGCAACAAGCCCTTGCTGCCTTGCCCTGGAGTGTTCGATTTAAACTCAGGACTGTTTCCTAATGCACAGATTTAATATATGGGAAGCTATGGCTGCCTCTGTTGTGACTTTGAGTTGCTAGTCTAATTTAAGAGGTTTCTAGCTCTGTAGGAAGCTTCTCCCCCATTCTCCCCCTTTAGCTATGTGTGTGGCTGTGTTCGTATCAAATGACTTCACAGATCCAGTACAGGAAAAAAAAACGAGCTGCCAAAGCATGTGAACATGGTTGTGTGTTTGACAGGATTGTTCCCCAGGTCTCATTTTGTGTGGCTCCAGTTCTGTGAACAAAATGCCCACGTGTGTGTGCTTCCATGTGATGTGTAGAGATTTTATGATTTCAGTACAGGACTGCCCTTTGGCCCAGGCAGGAAAATGAAATCTAAAGGATTTGCCATCGTATGTCCTCGTCAAAACGCCTGGCGAGGCTGGAATGGCTGGGTCATGGCTGTCACTGGCTCTGCCCTGCGATTGCCTGTTTCTTGTATCAATGCCAGAAAGGCTGTGGATTTTCTGGATTGCTTTTAAGGGTTTTCAGTGCAGGATGGTCAGGTTCACCAGGTCCTCTGCAATAAAATGTTTTACTACCAAAGTCACCTTCTTTGTAATCTATGAAGACCTGTCTGTTGGATCCTCAAGACTGGTTATAATCTACTAAATGTGACTGAGAGTTTGCTTAAATGTATGTTTTGTTGTGTAGCTAAAGATAATGGCCATAAAAGGAAGCCAAATTGCAATGGGGACTGTTGCAGTAGTGTTATCTTGGTATTTTTTTATCCCCTTTTGACTAGAATCACGCAAATGAGTGGTGATTTATATTCTGGTTTGAATTATATCTAGTACTAAACCACAATAATCGAATTGTGTGGCTGTTCTAAATTGGCACCAGTCTAAGCTAGAGGAGGTTTAGCCTTGCACTGCTATTGTTTGTGCTGAGCCCGTTGAATTTGTTGGTGGTGTGGAGGTTTTTTCCATACAGAAAACAAGGAAATAATATTGATAAGAAAACACAATACGGATGCTGGGACTGTTTCACAAGATAAGATTTACATTTCCGTATATACTTGAATGGGAGTCACTTGTCTTTTCGGGTGAAGCCTACCAGTGACCTGCCGAAAAACCACCCTGTGTGAGGGAAAGGGAAAGGCATTGACAGAAGCGCGTCGTCTTACAACGTTAGCATGAAGAGATGAATCAGTGTGTTCTCAGAGCCAGATGAACTCGTTCTCTATATGTAAGACAGTCTTAAATAATCTCTGATTTAGAGCTTAAAATTATTGCATGGTGGCTCTTATAATTAAAAGCAAACCAGTTAAGCAAGCACAGGGCCCAAAAGTGTGTAAATGAGTTAATCAGCTTAAACTCACAGCTCGTCACCTCTCTCCTCCCTTCGTCGTATGCTGGGTTGAAGAGGTCTTTGAATTCTGGCAATTAATGCATTTAAACCCAAAGCTGTGTACTAGTAACCTGCTGACAGTTACTCTGACTTCCTATAATACACTTTTACACCTCTATTTTTAATGTTTCTTGGACAATTCAGCCGTTCATGCCTATGTAACTTCACTTTGATGTAGTATCTTGAGCTTTCTTAGTTGTTTACCAGCCTTTTGAAGCCTGTCTCCTATGTATCCAATTCATCATATAAAAACTACATGAGTGCTGTTGCTGCACAGCACGTAGGACCTTGTCTTTCTCATGCCTCTGTGTTGGGGTGCAAACTAAGTCTTCAGCTGACCATTGCTTAAACGTCTCCTTCGCTGCAGGAACCAGTTCATAGCCTCTTGCTGTACACACTTGTTATCAAATGCAAGGAAATGCACCATCTTGATGCATCCCATGATACGCCTCAGCCGTAATTGTCACTAATCTAATGGCACCTCTGTGCCTGGACTTCTCTGGAGCACTGTGTTTAGTGGTCTTGGTCCTTCCAGCCTGTACCAGGTCTCAGCAGTGATGCTCTGTAGGGGTTTCCAAGTGTGCACAGCGTTCGGTGCCTCTGGCTGGGACCTGTATCTACATTAACAACCTCAGTTTCCTCACCACCTCCTTTTTTAGTGCCTGTATGCTTTTGGGAAGGCATGCCTCCTCTTTCATGTCTTCTGAGCTGAGGTCATAAAGCAGCCTTTGAAGCAGTTTGCCTTGGGATATCATTCCTTCCCCGGCTTAGGGGAACTTTCTCAATCCAGCCAACTTTTGTAGCTCTCAGTTTCTCAAGTCTTGTGATTTCTCTTCTGATGAACCCTTCTTACGCAGGAGCTGGGTTGTGCCTGAAGCTGTCTCCACCTCCAGCAGATCTGGAAAAGCTAAATGCTAGTTTGTGCATTATGGTTAGAAGCTGTCCATTGAGCTTGCCGTTACCATGACGGGGAAGCCACGCTCTCCCTCTGTACTTTGTGCTTGCTTTCCCTCCCTTGTGTTCATCTGCACTGCCCACGTTCACCGTTCTTAACTCAGTCACGTTTGCTGCTGGTGAAGGGTCTGGAGAACAGGTTTTATGAGGAGCAGCTGAGGGAACTGGGATTCCCAGTTCTCCCAGTCTGGAGAAGAGGAGACTGAGGGGAGACCTCATCGCCCTCTAACAACTCCCTGAAAGGAGGTTGTAGTGAGGAGGGAGTATCAGTCTCTTCTCCCAAGTAACAAGTGATGGAACAAGGAGAAATGGCCTCAAGTTGCACCAACGGATTGGATATGAGGAAAAAATTCTTTACTGAAAGAACGGTCAAGCATTGGAAGGGGCTGCCCAGGGCAATGGTAGAGTCACCATCCCTGGAGGGGTTCAAAAAATGTGTAGATGTGGCACTTGGGGACATGGTTTAGCAGACATGGTGGGGTTGGGTTGATGGTTGGACTTGATGATCTTAGAGGTCTCTTGCAACCTCAGTGAATCTGTGATTCTTTGACATGTTTAAAGTTCAGTTAGGAAAGGGCACTAGAGCTGGTATGAGGAGGAGGGCAAGACCATGGAGAAGGGAAAGA